TGTTTCATAACTTCAGGTGTCTGTGCCATTTGCTCACATTAGCCAGTTGTTAAGCTCCTCTAGTTGCCATGGATGCTTTGCTTTCAGCTGTTCACTGTGGCACAATCTGCTTTACAGATGCACCCATTCTGGTTCCTTCGCAGGAGAGCAGCATAGGCAAGGGAGGTTTGTTCTGCCTGGGGGACTATGCTTCCCACCTAACTGCCTCAAATCTACATTTTAGCCTGTAACATCAGGGTAATCTGTCAGTAACCTAACAGTTGCCTTTTGCCACTCTGGCAGTATTGAAAAAAAAATTATGTCTATGTGTGTATTGCGTGTGTGCAGGTGTCCATGAAGCTGGAGGAGGGCATTAGAGCTGGAGTTACAGGTGGTTGTGATAGTCTTCATGTGGGTGCTGGGTACCAAGCTGAGGTCCTCCTGTGGAACAGAAAGCATTCTTAATTACTGAGTCTTGTCTCCAGCACCTCCAGTGACTGTGAAAGGCTTGAATTTCTCTGCATACTCTTACAAAGGAATCCCATTTCTTTGTGGATACATTTGTAATTCCATATTATGTTCTTTTTTCCCCTGAGACAAAAGTCTCTGAAATTGGAGTTAATCACATACTTTGTTTTTCCTAAGGTGTGTGTGTTGTGTGTGTGTGTGTGTGTGTGTGTGTGTGTGTGTGTACACCCCACATTCTTACTTCTTAGATGTAAGGAGATAGAAATGAAGTGGGGCAAGTTCAAAGCCTAGATTTCTAAGATTTGATTATGAAAATTCTTTTGGTAATACATAATAATTACTGGCATTTTAAAATGCCCTCTCCCTCACTTTACAAATACGTTTTTTCTTGAAGAATAATGTTTAAGTACAGGAAGCTTTACTGCAGAGCAGGCTCTACTAGAAGCTTCTCACACAAAGCGTGGACATGTAGCCTGGACCTCAATGAAGTGTGAATACTGGCCTAGCAATGGGTATTACTGCCGACTTTCCTACACTCTGTTTTTGTCCACCCTTCTTCCCTAAGTAGCCACATTCCACTTCCATATCACATGAGCTTGGTCACCCTTTCCCCCTGTTTTCTTTCTCCCTTACTTGAAAAGGCCTTCCCCCTCTTTTTAATTTTTATTTTCTATTTATTTTCTTGGTTTTTCAAGACAGGGTTTCTCTGTTTAACAGCCCTAGCTGTCCTGGAACTTGCTCTGCACACCGGGCTGGCTCGAGCTCACAGAGATCAGTCTGCCTCTGCCTCCTGAGTGCTGGGATTAAAGGTGTGTGCCACCACTGCCTGGCTCTCTCTTATGTTTTTTTTTCCTTGTCTTATTACCCTTATTCGTGCTCACATGCAGTTTCATAAAAATTAAAATGTAAGACCCAAATATGTGATAAAACACATAGTGCTTGTTATCTATTTTCCTGCAAACGACAAAATTTCATTTTTCTTTATGGCCAAATAATGTTCCAGAGTGTTGATGTACCACCTTTCCCATATCTGTTCATCTGGTGATGGACATTAGGACAGCAGTAAACATGGATGAAAACTATTTCTCTCATAGAACTCACTCTTTAGGGCATGCATCCAATAAATCCCCTAGTTTTTTGTCTCCAACTCACATATTTGTGTGTCCAGGTTCCTGTTCAGTATCACCACACAACTGGTGACATACTTGACATAACACATTAAAAGCAAAATCACTGAAACTTTTTGAAAAAAAATCTACTGCAAACCTGCCATACCTCCCAGTCCTGAACTATTAACCTTAACTCTTAGCACATTTTTCTCAGGAAGTTCCATGACCTTTAAAATATATCCCTCTCTACCTTCCCCCTGTTGCCAGCATCATCCATGCAGGCATCGTCTGAGCTAATTTTGTTTCTCTTGTGGAGTTGCTCTTCCTGCCTCTATCCTTGGGTTCACATAGTCTGTGCTCTTCTTAAGTGATACTGTTGGACAGAACTCAGATCATGTTTCTGCTCAGAACTCTTCAATGGTTTCTTTTATCCAAAATAATAATCCAAGTTCTAACATTAATTTATGAAGTCTGTACAAAGTATTCTTGCTCTGTAATTGTAGTCACTCTGGCTTTGTTGCCCTACTTTCTTTTAACCAAACAAAATGCAATATCTCTCCCAGAATTTCTGCAGACTGAAATTCTCTTAGTATCTGGTGGGCACAGTGCCTTGCTCACTTCAAACCTTTCATTCTACAGCAGTAAACAAACTAATAAACATTATTATACAGCTACAATTTATTTTTTCTTTTTCTTCCTAGTAAAAATTCCACTGAGTCCAACAGCTTTCCTGTCTTGTTCAGGGATGTATCACTGAGTATAAAGAACAATTTGCTCATAGATTGTTTTGGTAACTCTTGTGGGACATGTATGCGTGTGTGCGCACATGCATTCATGTATGTGTGCAATACTAGTATGTTTTTCTTTTCAAATGATTCCTTTTAAGTTGGGTTTACAGATTATGTGGAGTCTATCGGCAGAAACACTACTTTCCTTCATTTGAGTTATTTGTGTATTTCTATATTCTTATATCTGAACAAAATATTAATTTAAAACCACTTGTCAACTTCAGAAATGCTCATAGTAAATGCCAGGAGGTTATGAACTTAGAGTCTTAAGACAGTTAAATCTGGAATTTAAAAAGATTTTTGACATTTAAGACCTAATTCAGTACTTTAATTTTATTAATTCTTAACATGGCTAATGAAATTTAACAGATTGGTATCCTACATTTCACAACAGCCGGATATTTATTTCAGAAAATATGGGACACTTATATGTATTATACATATTAGGGAGCCACTATTTGGAGCAATTATATTTTAAAACTCACAAGATTTCAAAAATTCTTTGAAATTCCTTGTGAAATAACATTTCTTATTCATTCTTAATAGAATAAATTAGCTGAAAAATCAATCAAATTTTCTAGGTTTCTGCATAGAAAAGTAACTATTGACTTGTAATTTTGAATTATTACATTAAAATAAATATAGTATGCATTTGTATTTATAAACACTAGTAAATATTACAAGAGCTCTTGTGAACATTAGGTAAACTATCAGAACTACTTAAACAAGCCTTTTTCTGTTCAGTGATGGGTGATTGAACAAGAACTGTGCTTGACTTTGGAGATCTAGCATGACAGTCACGTTTTTGTTCTTTCCTCTATTGAGACAATAGATTCACTTCACTCCTCTAACCCTTATATATACTCTTTCTCATACAGTTTAGAATACATTAAGTACTGTTGTAGGTGAGGTGCTGTTGTCAGGCAGCGCCAGCATTATAACAGATAGGACTGTATCTGTGAACCCACTCTCCCTCTTGTAGGGCTTCCTCATCCCAGCCAGTGTGACACATATGCCTGGTGTTGTTTCAGTTTTCCTTTGCATGACACGATTGTCAAACACTTCTGAGTTCTCCTGATAGAAAAGGTTGCCTGTTTTGCAGCTCTTAATTTTAGTCTTGTATGGAAACACATTAGTGACTAGTTAGTCGTCTTCAGAGTCAATGTTGGCTCTGAGTTGATCAAAGTGCAGAACACTAAGCTTCTAAGGGATTGCATTATGAAAGTAACTTCTTTGGGCTCAGGATTTAATGTTATGTGAGCTTTAAAGTGTTTATCTGTGCTAGTTTTAACTCTATAATTCTAATAAAGCCAGTATCTTAAGAAAATTTCTATTGAATTATGGAATATAGATAATCTTGTCAGGCCAGGAAGCATGAATCTCCAAGTGGGTAATAAATCTTCATATATCATTCAATCAAATTAAGTTACAAGACAATTGCAGTGACAAAAATTATTTAGAGAGCTTTCCTTCTATGCTATAATGTGAAATGCATTTTGAGGTAATGTGAAACAAGCGTGTGTAAGGAAATATACTTGTTCAAAGGTTTGCTTCATTTTTATCTAACTTTTAAGTTATTAAATAGTCTTTCAGAGCTTTATCAAGTGACATTTAAAAACAGTAAGTATCTGTCCCTTATAAAACTGCTTTGCATTCAGTCTTTTGCCTGACTTTGTGACCCTCTCCTTCCTTCACACGCACAGATGATCCACACATAATGGACATGTGCTGCTAGGGAAGTCAGTGTACTAAAGCGTTTTTAGTTAAGAATAAAGATAGACTTGTAGAAAAAATGATTTTTCTTTCTTGGTCATAAGTTTATTGATTTCATGCTCTAACCACAGTGGGGAAAGTTGATAGAAACACCTAGGAACCCAAGTAAACTATTGAGCTATGACAAGTTCTTCCTGTAGTATGTAATAAAAATCAGGAGTCAGCTAAATGACCCAGGTATTCCTAAAGTGCCTTCTATGCTGCTCTGTCACACTTGAGATGTTCTTTCATAGTATTGACTTATTTAAATGATATAAGCAGATTAATTTTCAAATTTTCCTCTGACCTCAGTTTAGGCTCATGTTCACTGTTCAGGACAGTATAAACAGAAAGGGGAGCTTAGCTACAAATGATTTTTTTTAAAAAAGAACTGTCTTATTCTACTGTTTTACACTTAAGAAAAAATGTAACAAAGTAATGCTTTGTTGCCAACACACTCCTAATAGCAATTAGTAAAATAAGAATTATTTGTAGCTGGGCGGTGGTGGCACATTCCTTTAATCCCAGCACTTGGGAGGCAGAGTCAGAGGCAGGAAGATCTCTATGAGTTCAAGACCAGCCTGGTCTACAAGAGTTAGTTCCAGGATAGCCTCCAAGGCCACAGAGAAATCCTGTCTCGAAACCACCCCCCCAAAACAAAAGAATTATTTGTAGTATAGCACTAGACATAAACCTCAATTTGACATATTTTACACAGGTTAAAAACTTCTTTGGTATTGTCTCCCTATTCTTTGGATTTAATGTGAACTGCTTTAAAAGTGACTACTTTGTCTTAGAAGGAACTAGGGAGGCAAAAATATCTTTAGTATTTGGAGTATGTTAGATTGGCATGTATTTTATGTGCTAATGTAATTGCTTTGTTTTGTCATTGTTGTCATTTTAGTCTATGCAAGGGAAACTTTCTACAGAGAAATTGACTACACAGAACATGGTGGAAGAGCTAGGAAGGAAAGAAGGAAACCTCCAGAGATTAACAGATGCACTGCTCAAAGTGAGTACGGCTCTAACTGCCTGGAAGTGCCTGTCTCCACCTCTTTAAAGTCAATGCTTGCTTTGTGCATATAGATAAAGAACATGTTCAAGTTGGAGGTTTGACTTTGATGTGTTAGATTCATTAGACTTCATAAGAAAATTATAACAAAAAGACAAGCCTTTATTATCTTTCCCCCCTCATAACTTAGAATACAATTTTCATTGCTTAACTAGATATAGTCAAATGTTACACATGCATGAAGACCCAGAGTGCACCGAGAAGGCATAGATCAAACATAAAGTCCTGCAAGGAACTGCAGTACTGCTGCTGCTGCAGACCACACTCTCCTAAGTGTGAACTGACGTACTTGACCTGTGTTTAAGGAAACGTTACATACGGTACATGTGTTAGCCGAAGTACTCAAATGAATCCCCAAAGGTGGAAGATGTTTTCTAAATAACCGCAATACGATTGTCATGCCCAATAAAAATCATGATTTCTTGATGTTGATAATAATCTGTATTCACATTTCCCTACTTCACCAAGTATTTTTTTAGTAGCTATGGAAGACATTTCATTGTGGTTTCTTAAAAACCTGAGGTGCCATTCTTCCCCTTGTTACTGTCTTTTTGAAGAAGCTCATCTCTCTCTCTCTCTCTCTCTCTCTCTCTCTCTCTCTCTCTCTCTCTCTCTCTCTCTCTCTCTCTCTCTCTCTCTCTCTCTCTATATATATATGTATGTATGTGTGTGTGTATAATTTTTAAATTTAAATTAGAAACAAGTTTGCGTCACATGTCAATTCCAAGTCCTTCTCCGTTTCCCTCCCTTCCTCCTGTGCCCAGCCACCAATCCCCTCAAGCTCATTCATCTCATAGATTGTCATACCTTTTGGATTTGTCCAGTTGCTTCCTTAATGGTACCATTTGTTCTTTACCCTGTGTTTCTAGTAAGCTGTCTGTTAGAGCTAAAGGCTACATGAGATTCATGTCAGTTGTTTTGTTATAGATACTTTATATTGTGAACATATTGTGCAATATTTGATTATCCTTCTTAAGTGGTATACACATACTAATCTCTCTAGGTTAAAGTGGTGACAGCCTGGCTTTTTTATTATAAAGGTGCAGTCATTACAAACAGCATGTGACCTGTGGGACTGGGTAAATATGCAGTTTGCCAGCATCTGTTTTCTTGATGGGTTTAACTTCTACAAAAGTTGATTGTCTAAATAGATTTAAAAATGTTAGTTTTTTTACATGTACTTCATTCCCTAATGTTCATATATAAAAGCGATCTTTTTCTTATCACTCAGTTTATTTGGTTATTCTTAAGTGCAGTTTCAGTTGGAAATCCTGTTAAGCTTACTTTTCATTAGCAATTTTCAGGCTGAGGAGGGGAAAATAATTTTGGAGATAAGGATAGCATTTTCTGAGTATAGTAAGTCATGAATCCATGCTGATACTTCGAGTTCCAGTCAAACAGTTCTGAGATGCTGGCGTTTCTTTCCCTTTCATGTCACATGTCTATTTTTTTTGTGCCTTAAGTCATGAAATGTAATTCCTATGAATATCAAAACATAAATACTTTTTCTCAAAATTAAATAGTTCTAGTTTTCTTCAGTGGACTCTTACTGGGTAAATTAGCTACACTTCACCATAGGTCCCAGGCCTAGGAATAGTTGACCAACGTGAAGCAAACTCAGTGGTATTGTTGTATTTTGTTCATTTGGATTGTTTGAACACTTTGTCTTATTTGTCTTTTGCTTGTATATTTTGTTTCTGTTTTATGGGCGGGAATCTGGGCTGTGTGTATGTGTGAGGGGGGGAGAGAGGGAGGGAGAGGAGAGGAGAGAGTTTGTTTTATGTTCGTCTTGTCTTTGTGTTTGAAAAAGAGATAAAAAGGGCATTGATTTGGGTAGGTGAGAAGGGGACATGGGAAGGATCTAGGAGGAATTCAGGGAAGGGGAAAAGTGATTGGGATATATTTTATGAAAAAAAGGTTTTTTTTCACATAAAAAATAAGAAAAAGAAATACTTCCAGTATAGTTAAGTTGCTTCTGCTACTTAACAACACCATGGAATGAGGTTTACAGTGTCCTTGTTCTTTTCATCCAAATGGTTACATTGTGGGGAATGTATACATAGCCAGTCTTCTTGGGCATGATCTTCCCTTTGTGTATGATGGTGTCAGATGGCACAGAACAGTCAGACCTACAAATATAGATCTTTTTTTTTCTACTGAATATGTGCCATTGAATTTAGTTAGAATAAATACACTATGATGTTTGATAATAGACTTCATGGAAAATGTTAAGCTTTTTTTACTTTTGAATACATTTTCTCTGTTCTAATAAATGCCTTTTTCTTTCTTTTTTTTCTTTATCCACCACAGAGCCAAAGACAGACAGGAGAGATGTACTCTTTACTGGATCAGGGCCAAGAAGGAGAGCAGTCTGGGCTGCCGACCATCCGTTCTAAGTGGCCTCTCTTTGATCTGACTGTGATTGACCAGCTGTTCAAGGAAATGTCCTATTGTTTGTTTGACTTGAAAGCATTGTGCAGTATTCTTAATCAACGAGCTCAGGGCAAGGAGCCTAACCTTTCATTATTACTGGGAATCAGATGTAAGTGGCTGATGCCTTGCCTTTGTTCTATCTTTTCCGTGTTTGCTTTATGCTCTCCTTTTTTCTGACTTTAGAAGTCTCCAACACAGTTGGTGGTTTTAGGTTTACCTCTCGCTGGTTCATTACTAAAACTGACATAGGTTTATAGAAGCCAGCAAAGGCATAGTTGCAGAACTTTTAGACATGTTTCCTACACCAAGTCTGTAAATGTGTGCCCGTAGTGCTCTTTAGCAGTGATTTCCCATTTACTCTTATATGGCGGTTACCCAGATGAGTGGACCAGCTGTGTATCAACTGCTAGAAAATAATACTCACTGCCAGTCATTTCACATGAGCCAGAGTCTCTCCTCCAGATGTGCTGCCTTACAACACATGGGCCCTTCTCCTTTCTTTGTGACATCCCTGCTACTTTGTCTCAGTTCTTTCCCCTTCTACCTGAAATTGAATAAGAGCTGCCAAAGTAATACAGTGATAAGCCTTCCTCTGGGGGTTCCTTTTATAGGAATGCTCATCTAAAGTACAATATTGTCTTGTTGGTATCTTTTTAATAGAGAAGAAATGGTTAAGTAAAACGCTTAAAAAACAGGGTAAGGCTACATATATAAAAGTTTATGGCTGAACACATTCTATTAAATGCTCGCCTCAGTATGTATGGTTCATATGTGACAAGAGAATATTTCTATTTTATCTGTTTTATTTTATCTATTCTACCATATTACCTCATAATAATTATTGTGGATTAGAACAAATGCTTTTAAAGAATGTCACTTGTTAAGTGAGACATATATTGTATTAAGTAAGGTTAGCAGACTTTCACCTTCATTTCATAGAGGTATGTTTGTTCACATGCTTAAGTGTAGGCATGTGAAAACCACTGGTCAGTATTAGTACATATCAGACACCTCAGTGGCGTGTGAGGTCCTGTCGGTGCAGATAATGAAACTACCACCTCTCACACACTAACTGAATATTATATCATTATATCTATGCAGTAAGTGCTGTAATTGAGATCTGATCAAAAACAGTAGTAACACAAGGAATTAAAATGATTAAGTATACCTGGGAAGTGCTGCAAAGGCTTCATGGAGTAACTGGTGTTTGATATGGATCTTAGAGGAGAAGATACCAGATGAACACTGGCACTGGTTAGGCTGGATCTCTTGGAGGAAGAAGCTGAAGTTCACATATAAAAGACTTCAGTGCTTTAAAATTGGTTTCCCTTTGATTATTTTATAATCGACATTTCAGTATAGCATTTATTAACCTTTATATTAACAGAGTTATGTTAATATGAATGCAGTGGATATTCAAGACTCTCACTACCTTCCCCAGCACTAATCCCAGTGTATGCTCTTTTTAGACTTTCAGGTTCAACCTCCTAGTCCTTACCTTACATTTGACATTGTGAAATTCTGTCCAGCCAGCTACTTTGTGAAGAACCAATGAATTCATTTAGATTGCTGTCTCATGATTCCATCAGTTATCTCTTGGCAGACCTACCCCACTTTCTTAAAATTCTCTGCCTCTTTGGTTTTCATGACATCATTCCCCAAGTTCTACTTCCACCTTTATGACTACTTAGCCTCAATATTCTGTAGACTTCTCTGCAGCTTTCTTACTGGCTTTAAGATGGACACACCTTTAATACCAGCATTTGGGATGAAGGGGCAGGTGGATCTCTGTTAGTGCAAGACCAGCCTGGTCTACAGAATGAGTTACAGGACAGGCAGAGCTACATAGAGGGACCCTGTCTCAAAAAAATCATATTGAGGTATATAAGAACTACTAGTCTGTGGGTGTTTTCATTTGTTTCTACTTTTAGTTCTTATTCTCTCTGAATACTTTTTTTGTATCTTTTCTGTTATTACAATACCCCCCCACCCCCAATACAGATACTGATCTCTCTGTCTAGAAGGCATCTTTGGCGTCCTGTTTGTAGTCAACTCTTTCTCTCTCTCTCTCTCTCTCTCTCTCTCTCTCTCTCTCTCTATATATATATATATATATATATATATATATATATATATATATATATATATTCAATCTGGCTTTTTCCTAGGCAGCATCAGAGACTCAGCATGACTTAAGTAGAATCCCACTTGCCCCAACTAGCCCTGCTCCTCACAGGAGTGAGCATCACCACACTCTGTCTGCCTTTTCCTCCATGAGCTCATCCCAGTCCCTGACCCTCACTCAAGTTGATGACAGGTGAGCTCTATTAGAGATAATATTTATTCCTGCCATTATAGCAGACTTAATTCAGGCACACATTGGACTCTTACTCATCTTATTTGTCCTCCTTTCCCTACCCATTTTCGTATTGTTGCCAGTGTTTTATTTAAATCACAAATTGTTTTTCCTAATATACTCCCTGTGATAGAATAGGTTCTACCTATCTCTGTAGTTTCTTATGCCTCTTGTTGCATGTAATTTGTATCCTCCTGCTTTATGGCTAGATATTAATCTTATTTCTCAGAGTCTATCAGATTACTTTGTTTTGTGTTTCACTGGTCCACTAATAAATAAATTCAGCCATTTGTCCAGTTAGGTGTCTGTATCTTTTGAATGGTGGTGAGTCATTTGCAATATGCTCTACACTCAGTTGTTTATGGAATTGTATAGGAAGCATTGAGAATAAGCCATTGATTTCTCTAACAAGCATCACACCTTGAACATGGTAAATGTTCAATAGTGTTTAAAAAAAACAGTTATTTGGCTACTGCGTCAGAGGTAGAAGGAGGTTATCTCACAGCTTTCTTGCTTTTTTTATTGGGTCAAGCTTAAAAAGAGAAACTAGAGTAGACAACTAAAAGCTAGTTGAGTAGAGCCTCACCGTCATTATCCAGAAATTGGGCACTCTCTATGTACTTGATTCAGTTGTTTGAGATTCTAGGGTCCTAATACTTTGGCTCTATCTTTTGAAACTGATGTCTGCATGCCAGTAAAACCCACTTTTAAGACTTTTCTCTATGCAAATAATTTTGAGATTTTTGTCAGTGGGAAAGAATTGAGTGCTCTAGTGGAGCTTGAAAAGAGCTGTGAAGTCACATTCTTTTTCACTTTGCTAATGTCCTCCACCAAGCACACTGAAATTGTGGATGCTGTATGAATGTAATACATTCTAACTAGCAGTGTTTTTTTAAACTACATAGGTAGGGTCTATTTAATATCAAATAATGTATGATTTGTGCCTAAACCTCACTGCTATTCATTGTGCAATCTTGTGAGAATCTTGAAATGTCTGTGCAGAAATGTGAGACCTTCTCTCCATGCTTTCTTTACACAGCAATGAACTGTTCAGCTGAAGAGACTGAAAATGACCACAGCCCAGAAGCACTCACTAAAAAGCTCTCAGATGTGTGCCAGTTACGGAGGGACATTGATGAATTAAGGACTACAATATCAGACCGCTATGCTCAGGATATGGGAGACAACTGCGTTACCCAGTGATCAAGCATTGGTCCACAGCAACAATGATCCATTGTGAAATGCTGCTGTGTTAGACTCTTTTGTTTCTTTTTAGGACTTATAAGGAAAGGTGAGACTTCTCGTGGCGCACTTCGGCTTTGTTGTTGTTCGGTTTGCTTTACTGAGGAAGTTTGAAGGGGCTGATCAAATCAGGCAAGCAATCATGTTACTATTAAAATGCGATAATGACTGCAAGAAAAAGAACAAAACAACCTGCATTTTCAAACTACTGATTGTAGGACCAAGCTGTGAACAGTGTTCTTCAGATAAAGGCATAGGATTTCCTTAATCCTATCACTTTGTGTATATACATGTGAGTGCTCATGTACTCATTCATTCTCTCGCCTGATCACTCTGTCTCTGTCTGTCTGTCTGTATCTCTCTCTGTGTGTGTGTGTGTGTGTGTGTGTGTGTGTGTGTGTGTGTGTGTGTATGCATGTGCATTTGCAAATGCTTGGACTCTATTCACACAGAAATAGGATTTCAGTGGTCAAAGCAGGGCTTTGAAAGGCACACACTGTCGGTTCTTCATTTTGGAATTTTATAGGCAGACTGACTAGATCCAATAGCAGGGCAGTGGTTTTTTTTTTTTTTTTTTTTTTGGTTTTTCGAGACAGGGTTTCTCAGTATTGTTTTCGAGGCTGTCAGTCCAGCCTGGCCTCGAACTCACAGAGATCCGCCTGCCTCTGCCTCCCGAGTGCTGGGATTAAAGGTATGCGCCACCACCGCCCGGCCAGCAGGGCAGTGTTCTAATGCAGAAGGACAGCAAACAAAATCATTAGTGCTTTACAAAGTGACTGTCGAGATGGTATGATTGTTGTGAAGTTGGGCTGATTTTAGCACTGAAGACAGCTATTTCTTCCAGAGTGTTCATAGATTGTCTCAGCAGTGTGAAACTCTGAGTAATTTATAAATATGAAAAGTAATTGCAATTAATTTAAGCATACCCCTTACTATTTGCAGTCTTTATGATACATATATGTGTGTGTGTGTGTGTGTGTGTGTGTGTGTGTGTAAGCAGAGCCATATAAAATTAATAGGAGCCCTCTGAGGCCTTCAATGACTATTATAAAAAGGCAGATGATAAAGTAAGTCTGGCAGAGTTGCTTTTTATCTACATTTCAGCATTTACATTAAACAGTTTCATGCCTACTTTAACTTCTTTAAGAGAAAGCCAACTCATTATTCATATGCGAATTAACAGCAGCATAAAACCTAAGTCTCAATGATATTTTAATTTATTTTATTAGATTTGTTACATTACAGTTTGTCATAGAGTATGATATTGCTTAGGTTGGTTCATCTGGGGCACAGGGTACTACTATGAAATACATAGCCATTTAAATGTCAAATAATATTGTATCACTTTATGTTTTAGAAAGGTTATATATTTTATTGCTGGCTGAGAATTCATTACAATCATTTGAAAACAGTCAAAGCTTTGCCCTTTATAGGTTGGTTTTGTTTTCCTTCCTTCCTTCCTTCCTTCCTTCCTTCCTTCCTTCCTTCCTTCCTTCCTTCCTTCCCTCCCTCCCTCCCTCCCTCCCTCCCTCCCTCTCTCCCTCCCTTCCTCCCTTTCTTCCTTCTTAATACAACCCAATTTTCTTCAGGCAGGACTGCATAGGTGGGAGAATAAAGGGTGTGGAACCAGCAGGGTAGTACAGTTGGCTGAGATCAGACACATACCCATTTTCTTGCTAAGCTTAGTGGGGTGTAAAGCTTCCTAGAAAAGATTTTTCTTAATCTCAACAATGAAAACTTAGTGGGACTGGCCTTTGAGGAGACTGCCTAGGAACACACTCGGTTCAGAACAGGCCTTTATTCTCCTGTCCACAGTCATTTGATACTTATATTTCAGTAGTTTGTTATACTCCATCATAATGACAGATTTCCCTTCTATTTAGTGCTAAATCCACTCTACTCCTCTTGGGTCTGGCTACCAACAAATCAGTGTGTTGAGGTGAATACACACCCCATCTCCCTAACTCCTAGAAGATCTTTAAAGATGTGTTCGTTGGGTTTTAAGGCAATACTTGGATGACAAAAAGAAATTGTTGGTTGCAAAAATATATGGATTGCAAAAAGTAATGTCTGTGCAGGTAGTCCTGAGCTGTGAAGTCAGGTGATAGCATCTATATGGGTCAACCACAGTGCAGCAAGTAACAGACTTACCTTCTCTTTGGCTAGAGTCCTCACCATCCTATCATGATTTCAGAAATAAAGGCACCCAGAACTACAGCACTATATAGAGCAGCTCCCAAGTCCTAGTTTTTAGTTTTATGTTTTGAGGTTTTATAGTTAGTTTTTTAAAATGAACATATTGTCATGTATTTTAATATGTATATATATGTATATATACACATACCTACATATATATACACATATATACATATATACAGAGAGACATGCACACATACCTTTTTTTCTGGCCACTTGCAATGAAATTTTTGTTTTGGCTAGTTTTCTAAAACTTAAAGAATTTAATTCACATGTCTTATTAGAATAAGAAAGTTTTACCAAACTTTTACTGATACATTTCAGTTTCTAAATTGTATACTGTTATTTAGAAGGCATTTAGAGGTAATAGATTTTGATTCATATTTTGATATAATGGGAAACAAATACTAATCTCTTAACTGGAGTGTAGAGTTAATGAAGAACTTTGATAGTAAGTAGCCAGCTTTGGAGGGAATTTTGAGGAAGATGGACTAGTTGTGTTCTAGTTAGTCAGCATTTAATTTTTTAGAAACATTTTCTTCCTTAAGACACACACTTGCTAGAAAAGTAATAATATCACATCACATTGAAAACAGAATTTACCATTAGAATAAGTAAGATGGCAAACATCAAATCTGTAGTGTTTTATCTCCATTTTGAAGTAGGTTGTACATGGAAGTTACAAAATGACATAAGCCTAAAATAAACAGGAACTCAAATTCTACAGTAAATCTATCTGTAAATTTCCATATGTGATGAACTTTCTTTTCATTTATGCTTTTGTGTATAAAGTCTTTATGCTCCTAGGAAGCAGTATTTTATTTTAGGTCTGTTCAAGCTGAAGCCCTTAGAACATAGCCACATAGAACAGAAGTAGACTAACAGATACCACAGGAAAGACACCAGTTACCTATGCAGATAAAAGTAGCTGAATCAAGGACAAAATAATGCACTGTCCTTGCATTTGATGTCAGAAAAAATGACTTACACTTAATGTATTTTCAGTGACCTCTGATATTAAGATTGTAAGTTTTGACTAGGTAAATATACAACAATTTTATTTTTAAGAGCATGGTCCCTTTCAATATTTGGAACAAGATTCACTGTTTAATGTTAACATTATTATATCTTAGTGATGGTTGTGGGGTTGTAATTTTGTGAAATTGAATTTAACTTTCAGTACCTTGTTAGAAAATTCAAGAGCTAGAGAACGTTGCTAAAATGAATATTGGGCAGTTGGACTTAGAAGCTTGTGAGAATAGTGTTCTTGTTTCAGACTCAGTAGGAATTTCTGGCAGATATTTCTAAAGGGACTGTTTGATTGGAGAATTCTCTTTATACCAGTAATAGTTCACTGAGCAACAGGAGCTGAGCACTCGGGCTATTTTGCACAGTACTGTTCAACTCTAGCATGCTTCTGGTGTGGATTGCTGGAGTTCTTGTCCATATTTCTGTCACTGGATATGTAATTACAACGATAGGCTGTTCTCTGAATGAGCACACATAGCAGATGACATTTGGAATCACCAATGACTCTTGCTTCTCTTTTGTTTCCATTTCTGACAGTTCTTTTTAGTGTTCAGAAACCAAGAAAAACTGTCTCCTATTTGGTATAAAGAGTAAAATTTTCAAGTTTACCCCCCAAACACATTAATGGTAATTACTGTATGAATGTACCATACATTTATTTAATCATGAAAGGAAATGATTTGAGATTTCTTATTTAAATGAAATATTGAGTATAATAGAATGTACTTTGAAATCAATAAGTCATAGGCAACACTGTTGCAGCTGCATACAGAGAAAACCTTTTGTGCCTTTTTGCCTGCAGTGTTTATTTCTCTTACATGAACTATAAGAATGTTGATTATTGCACCTTGTTCTTTGGTAAATAGACTTAAGAATTTTTCTAAAATGAGCCATTTCTTCTTAGATGATAGTTACCTTAGTAAGCGTGAGAGGATGTATCATATTTGGATGTTTTTGAAGCCCAGCCTTTTCTTTGTAGAGAGCAGTAAATTCCTCTAAAATGTATTCATTTGTATGTATGTGTGTGTGTTTATATATATATATATTATATATGTAGTTATTTAAATACTTAAGTGTGAAGTTGACATCATGTTGCCGTGGTGACCAGAAGTGGTCAGGTGCTAGCTGGTCACATTAAGAGCACAGCAGAGCATGCAAATCAGTCACTGACTGGTGGGTTTGTAAACTAGGTTCAGTGTTTGAACCACCAGAATACCTCATATGTAAATACAGTGTTCACAACTTACCTGAAATACAGTTATTGTAAAAAAAAAAATGTGAAGCCACTGGCTGGCTTATGCCTTCTGACTTTTTGTTTTTCCTCCTTTTTGGAAAGGAGTTAGTTTTGTTTTTGTTTTTATAGGGTTTACAGCTAGAAATTTGAATGCCAAAGTTCTATTTATTAAACTAAGAAAAAAGTTTTCAATGTTAATGGCTAGTATTTTTCCACTGGACTATTGTTTGTTGATGTTGAAATTTGTATTTACAGAGAAATAAATTTTTTACAAAAATATTTGTCTTCGTGGTACCTAATGTTGGTATAAGAAGGTATTTGAAGTTCCAGGCTGTCTATCCCAAGTTCTCAATGACAAGAATATGTTGACTTTTTTTTTTTTTTTTTTTTTTTTTGGTTTTTCGAGACAGGGTTTCTCTGTGGCTTTTGAGGCTGTCCTGGAACTCGCTCTGTAGACCAGGCTGGCCTCGAACTCACAGAGATCCGCCTGCCTCTGCCTCCCGAGTGCTGGGATTAAAGGCGTGCGCCACCAACGCCCGGCGAATATGTTGACTTTTAAGTAAAAGCTTTCCATAAATACAGAGAAGAATCATTGCCTGGAACATAAGATTTCTGCTTTCTAAGTTTCTTAGCATTTCCTCAACATCTTGAAAGGTGGAGAGATTTCTTGCAACAGGTGTCATAAATACAATGTCAATACTGTGTACTGTTGTTGTATACCCACTGGGTTCTGCAGCTGCCCCAGAGTCCCTAAATAACACATAAGACACTATATTAAGTATAAGCTGTTGGCTGGCGACTAGGATTTCTTATAGGCCATCTCTGTCTTAAGTATTAACCCATAACTACTAACATATGTATTTCTACATGGTCTTATCTTACCGAGAACGCCAGACTCATGCATCCTCTCCTCCCAGGATTACATGGTGACCTCTCTCTTACTATACTTCCCAGAATTCTCCTTGTCTCCTAGTCCTGCCTATCTTGCTTCCCTATTGACCAACAGTGTTTTACTTATCAATGAATAAGAGAAAAATATATACAGAAGACTTTCCCCGTTATCTCCTCTTTCTTGTCTAAATAAAAAGATTTTAACTTTAACATAGTCAAATTATATATAACAAAAGTTATCAAATAACTATAGTTAACAATATTTAATCCATTAACATTTAGCAAAATTTATACAAAATATTTTACCTATCCTATCTTTGTGAGTCTAAAGTCTTATATGTGACTTATCTTTTATAATAACTAAGGAAAACTATAACCTTGGCTATCTGTCTTCAACTCCATCAAAGACCACAGAAGGATAATTTATAAACTCTAGAATTGACAGAGACAACTTGCTGCCTTGTCTGTCACTCGAAGTTCTTCTGTAATGTTCCATCTTTGGCTCATAGGCCACAGTGTGTCTGGCAGACTCCTCAGCAAAGTGGGAAACTTTAAACTGTCTGCCTTGTATTGGGAGTTTGTCAGTCATTTTTCTCTCTGTCCTGTACGATGTCTGGCAGACTCTTCCATGAAGCAGGAACCCTGTAGCAATGTCCTTCTTGTTTCAGCAGTCACTTTCTTGTGGGTCCTGCATGTCCATTTTATACAGCATAAAGTCAAACAGTCCAGACAAGAGCAGTTTCTTGCCCAAATGGCCAGTCTTGCCTTATTGGAAGCAACCTCCATAACGATTTTCATCTATACCCATCTTCCCTTCTGACACAGTTGGTGCTGTCAGGAACAGTTGTCTCATTGTCAAAAAAAATCTCTAAACCATATAGGTCTTTGAAAGAGAAATTAGGGAATAGCTTGAATGCATTGGCACAGAAGACAACTTCCTGAACAGGACACTGATAGTGCAGGCACTAAGACTGACAAGTAATAAATGGGACCACATGAAACTGAGAAGCTTCCATAGAAAAGGACAAAACAGCAGCCTACAGAATGGGAAAATATTTTCATCAACCCCACATCGCATAAGAAACATCAATCACCAAATAATCCAATTTAAAAATGAGGTACAGTTCCAAACATAATTCTTAATAGAGCAATCTCAAATGGCCAAGAAAGTTTTAAAGTAATGTTCAACATACTTAGCCACCAGGGAATTGCAAATCAAAACTACTTTGAGATTCCATCTTATACCTGTCAGAATGGCTAAGATCAATAACAGGTGACAGTTCATGCTGTTGAGGATGTGGAGCAAGGTTGTGGTAGGTAGTTTGAATGTAATTGCCCCCCATAATCTCATAGGCAGTGGCACTATGTGGAGGTATGACTTTGCTGAGTAGGTATGGCCTTGTTGGAGGAAGCGTGTCACTGTGGGGGTAAGCTTTGAGGTTTCCCATGCTCAGAATACTGCCCAGTGAGTCAGTTGACTTCCTGTTGCCTGTAAGATGTAAGAATCTCAGCTATTTCTCCAACACCATGTCTGCCTGCACACCACCATGCTCCCGATCATGATGATAATAGACTGAACCTCTGAAACTAAGCGAGCCAACACAAATGTTTTCTTTGTAAGAGTCTGGTCATGGTGTCTTTTTACAGCAATGGAAAACCCTAAGACTAAGACAAAGTGGAAACACTCCTCCATTGCTGGTGGTATGCAAACTTGTACAGACTTTATGAAAATCAATATGGCTGATCCTCAGAAAATTGGGAATCAACCTACCCCCAGACCCAGCTATACTGCTCTTGGTCATATACCCAAAGGATACTCCATCCTACCACAAGAACACTTGCCCAACTATGTTGTAGTGGTTTTATTCATAATAGCCAGAAATTGGAAACAACCTAGATATTCCTCAACTGAAGAATGGATAAAGAAAATTTGGTACATTTGCACAATGGAGTAATGCTCAGCTGTTAAAAACAATGACATCAGAAAATTTTAGGCAAATGGATGAAAATAGAAAAAATAAAATCGAATGAGGAAACCCGGCCGGACTCAGAAAGACAAACATGCTATGCACTCACTTATAAATGGACATTTACTTAAGTAAATGAAAATCACTCCACAATCCAGAGTTGGAAAGGCTAAGTAACAAGGCTCTAGAGTGGAATATGTGGATCTCCCTGGGAAGGGGAAAGAGAATAGATTTTGAGGGTGGAGTGAGGGAGGAAGGGTATGGGAACAGGAAGAATCAGGTCGGGGAGAGGGCAAGAAAGGAGAAAGTATGGGGAGAGATGACTTGAATTGGAGGGCATTGTGGGGGGACATAGGAATCCTAGTGGAGCAGAAACTTCCTGGAACCCGTGAGGATGACCCTAGGGAGAACTCCTCATAATGGTGAGTATGGAGGCTGAAACAGCCATCCCAGCAGTGGAATAGAGACATCTATCCAGGTACAAAACCTTTGACTTCATTCTGTCCTGTCTGCAAGATGTTCTGGGTTAATGGTGACTCAGAACTTGTGGGAGTGGACAACCAATGAATGGCCTAACTTGAGGCCCAAGCCATAAAAGGAAATCCATGCCTGATACTGCCTGGATGGACAGGCACTGGAAGCTGGATGGCCCAGAGACCTACCCAGTCACCATCAGAGAGGCTTCCTCTGGCAACTGATGGGAGCAGGTGTAGAGACCCACAGCCAAAGGGAGCTCTGGAGAGGAAGGATTGTAGGAGCCAGAGGTTTCTAGGATATCAGGAGAGCTCAGCCCCTGCAATCAACTAAGCGGGACTCATAGGAGCTCACAGAGACTGAAGTGGCAATCAGAGCCTGCTTGGATCTGTGCTAGGTCCTCTGCAAATACATTGTGGTTATTTAGCTTGGGGTTTTATGACACTCCTAACAGTGGGAACAGGGAGTGTCTCTGACTCTTTTGCCTGCTTGGGACCCTTTCCTCCCACTGGGTTGATTTGTCCATCTTTGATATGAGGGTTTGTGCCTAGTCTTATTGCATCCTGTTATGTCATGCTCTGTTGATATCACTGGGAAGCCTGCTCTTTTCTGAAGGGAAACAACAGCAGTGGATCTGGGAGAGAGGGAGTTTGGGGGATGGTACTGGGAGGCATAGAGGGAGGGGAGAATGTGATTGGGATATATTGTATGAGAGAAATTTAAAAAAAAGTGTTTGACATACTTAGCCACCAGAGAATGCAAATTAAAATGACTTTGAAATTTCATCTTCCAGCTTTGGTCAAGAAGGGGACACTAAGGTTGTAGAGGGTCTGATGCCTTCTCCTGGCCTCTGTAGTACCTGCATACAAGTAGTATACATTCACAAAGTGCATGCACTTTTGAGTGTGTGTGTGTTTGTGCACGCGCCCGCACAAACACACACAAATTAAAAGTAAGATTTCAATGTGTTGTAGCTATACTATTCCTGGACATACACTCAAAGGACTTGCTCTTCTCCCACTGAAGTACTTGCATAACCAAGCTTGTTGCTATAGTATTTGCAATAGCAAGGACCTAAAACCAGACTAGATGTCCATCAGCAGAGTAATAGATAAGGAAACCTCATATATACATGATGGAATTTTATTTGGTTGTAAAGAAAAAAATGAAATCATAAAGTTTGAAGAAAAATTGACCTGAAAAATTTTACGTTAAGCAAGGTAACTCAGACCGAGAAAGACAAAGATGGCATATGCTCTGTAATATGCAGGTCCTACTTCATATGCCCATTAGATGTGTAAGTCCCAGTGAATGTAGGAATGGGTTGTGAAACTAGTAAGGGCGGCAATAGGATTTGTGTGATGTGACATGAAAGCAGAAAGGAGGTGATGAGAGCCAGGGTCAGGAGTGGGTGAAAATGAAGAGTCAACAAAATGGAGTTTCTTTTTAATGCCACAATGAAACCTAATGCTGTGCATGGTGATTTTTAAAAATATAAAAAAATTTAAACATCCAGAGATGGACTAAGATGTCCAGTGCTTGCTTGTTGTATAAGGATCTTCTCAAGCCTTTACTTAAATAACCTTTTTGTTCTTATATTTGAATCTGGAATGAACATAATTAAATTCTGTTAAGAGAAGCTTTTTCTTTTGCTAGCCGCTTTGGTTTATCCCCCGCCAGTCGCCTGGGCTCTGCCGCGCCAGCCTGGTTCTAGAGCCGCATCAGTCCCAAATAAACACACAGAAGGCTATATTCATTATGAAGCTGTTGGCCTTGCTTGTCTCTTACTGGCTAGCTCTGCTTTAAGTAATTACCCCATAATTGTTAATCTGAGTATGTCTCTTACCGGAGAATAGTTCCCGGCTTCCTACCCCAATGGCGGTTACATCTCGAACTCTCTTGTCTTTCTCTTTTCCAGAATCCTCCTCGACTCCTAGTCCCTCCTAT